ACCAGATAAGCCAAAATCATACCGGACAGAACCAGATATGCCAAAATCGTCTCTGTTCTAAAATCCTGTGCCTAAGGACCTGCCACTTCTCATGCAGCCTAACAGTCACAGGACACTGGCATCTTAGGCAAGAAGGCATTCTAATCTGGCCTGTAACAGGGCAGAGCCACTGAATATTGTACCAGCCCTGTAATGAGGGGCTGACTACGGGGAGTAGGCCAACAGAGACCAGCTTTTGAAAGTTACAGCCACTCCCTGGCTCTCTCTGCCTCCTGGTCAGCCTCGTGTGAATCATGACTAATGCCACGATCTTACCTCCAGCACCTTAAATGTGACAATAAAGAAACCAGGAAGTTACCCTTTTTTAGTAAACCCCCAAGAGCAAGTCATTTTTTGTTTGTTTTGTCTGGTTGGTTCCCCTCCCCCAGCCTCCCAGATAATTTGAAGATTACCTACTTCAAAAGAACAGTTGAAAACAAAGAGAGAAAATGTACACAAAGCTTAGCAGCTTGCTTCAATAAACGGAGCTGGCATTATCTTTTATCTAGCTACAAGACAGTTTTCCCTCAGAGACGGCACCCAGACAGGAGACTCCCTAACACCCATTCCTTTCCAATGGCTTTTAGATTGTCTGGGACTTACTGTCCTTGTCAGTGGCTAACACAGTCACTAGGCATTCCTCCAAGCTTGGAAACGATGGCAATGAAGTCCTTGTACTCTCACACGCACCACACACACACACACACACACACACACACAGCCAGTCCACAGTATGAGCGGAAGCTTCCATTCTTCAAGGCCGATGATTAAGTAACTAAAGGATTTTCATGCTCTCTGCTTTTTTTTTTTTTTGTCTGTTTTGTTTTGTTCTTCTGATCTACAGCAAACAGCTGCCAATTAACAAAGCAATGGACAGCAACCATGGACTGTTTTAGGTCCAATATTTTTATGCTACCCTTGAACTCACTGGAAGGGTTTGATATTATAAACCTTCCTTTCAAAGCCTTGTGTCTGTGGGCTGGAGAGATGGTTCAGCATTTAAGTTGCTACTTGCTACTCCATCAATAGAGTCCCAGCACCTACACAGAAGCTCACAACTGTTGTTTTAACTCCAGTTCTGGGAGATCTGGTGCCCCCTTTTGGCCTCTACAGGAACCGTCCACCTCAGTGGTGCACATACACACATGCAGGTAAAACACCTAGACATCATTAAAAGCAACCTAAGAAAGCCATTTGTAACCTATGGAACAGTATGGGACTCTTCCGTCCCATTACTTGCTGGCTTCAGGATCACCGTTAATATTTTTACTTTGCATTGTGACTAAAAGCTCCCAGACAGGGTTTCTCTGTGTAACACTGGCTGTCCTGGAACTCGCTCTGTAGACCAGGCTAGCTTTGAACTCAGACACCCACCTGCCTCTGCCTCCTGGATGCTGGGAGTAAAGGTGTAAGCCACCACTGATCTACAGGGGTTTTTTGTTTTTGTTTTTAATATTTGTCCCAGTAAGTCTTTTTCATAAGAAAGTATGAAAGTTTCAAATTGTTACTTGTTAAAATACTTGTATGAGAGACTAAGAGATTTGCACAAAGGGCTCCCACGTTCAAAAGACCTAAGGATCCAGTTTGTTGTCAAGAAGCTACAGACCAAAACTTTTATGGAATATAATAAAAGTTAATCATTAGAAAATGATAATGTTCCACGACATCAGTTGTAAAGTTTCTAAATATTTCTATCAACCTCTGAACTCACAGCACAGGAGTTACAAACAGTTCACAGACACCCTCTGTGGCCCCAGCCCACACCACCACTTGTCCATCACACACAATTTGGACAATCACAGGCTCTCTTGCAAAGGAGATCTAGGGAGGGACAGTCAGAGACTGATCAAGGCAAAATTGGGGAACATTAGAGTCTGGGTTTAAACCATTTGTCTGACTCCATGAGAAGAAGAAGTTAACCATGTAACCAGCATGCATCCCTCTGTGAGAATCTCTGCCCTTAGGGAGACAGGGAACTTAAGGCCCAGGGATGCAATGAGAAGGTCCAACTCCCCAGAGCTTCCTAATTCATGAGATTACTTAACTAATGGCCAAACTTTAAAAAAAAAAAAAGCAAATCAAAGAACAAAATAGGGAATGTTAAAAAAAGGGGGGGGACTGGAGAGGTTAAGAGCACTGGCTGCTCTTCCAGAGGACCCAAGTTCAATTCCAAACACCCACACGGCAGTTCACAAATGTCTATGACTCCACTCCCAGGGGATCTGACACCCCCACACCAATGCACATAAAATAAAATTAAATAACTTATTAAAAACAAACAAACAACAACAAAAGCAGGGCTGGCTGCGAGTAGCCTACACTGGCCTGGAAACTACAGGACCCTCCTTTCTCAACCTGAGATCTGTGGGTTTTGTTTGTTTTTGTTTTTTGATTTTTGTTTTTTTTCACAGACATGCACCATGCACCAGCTACCTGGGCTTTGATATGATCTCTGCATGGGAAAGAACCCAGCAGAGCATATACAAATACACAGAATGTTCTTGGTCAGTGAGGTCTTCTTTCATTGATTTTGATTCCTGGATCATAAATATAGTCAGGTTGTGACCGAGGCAGGAGGTTGAGTTTAGGTAAAGGGCTATCTGGGTGGGACAGGGCAGAGTTGGAATTCAAAGTCAGGCTCAACGGGATCCCCTGTCCTCAGACACTGCAGGGGACACGGATATTTCTGTTCCTCATTTATAAGACCCCAAGAAACTGAGTACCAGGATTTTATAGGCTCCCCAAAGCCAATGTTGGTCCTTGCCCTTCAGCTGCTCTCCCAGGCACCAAGCAGCCAACAGAGACCTAGACCTCGGGCTTCAGCTCCAGGCCTGGAATTCCCCGTGGTCCCCCATACACTCACGGCGGCTCCCTCCCGCAGACTCCTCGGGGTCGGCCCCCCGCCCGATCGCGGACGCCCGCAGATCGGGACCCGCTGCAGACCCCTCCACCCTGCGCCCTCCCGGTGCAAGCTCCCGGTGTCACCCACGCGTGGACGCGACACCCGCCGAGTCCTCGGGGGCCGGGGTTCAGGGCCTCGCTTACCTAGCGGAGGCGCAGTGGCGCCGAGGTCACCGAGCAGCAGCCACAGCAGCCACAGCAGCCACAGCGGC